GCACATACGAACACACACATATCAGTGAACGCGCACGCACATGCTACAGAACATCATTATCGTCCGCTCATTCTACAAGTGATAATCACGCAGCAGTTCAGACAGCATTTTGAGCACTTCACGCAACGAGCAAACTACTCGGTATGCGACTGTTTGGTGCCTACCCCCAACCGAGTCATGATAATTGTCAACTTGATTGTAGAGCTGAATGGGCTACCCTACAGACGAGACATTGCATCACGACAAAAAACATACATTTACCTTGTATTGCATAAAAAAGCTCCCAAGGAATGAAAATCGCAACCAGGACAAAATATAATCAAACACAATGTCGGGTGTCTATGCACACCGAATGGATTAATCTGAACTCAACATTCCAAAATTGTTTCAACAGTGTGAAGTAAATAAAACTGGACAAACTGAACCAAATGACATTGTTTTTCAGAATCAGTGACAAATTCAGTTTCGAAGTTGACGAAATATCTGCACTGTAGTTTAAAGAAACAAGTAGACCAAATAAACATGGTTTGAAATCATACATTTGAACCCTTCTGGTGGTGTCGCAAGGTTGATCAGTTGAAAACTTGTGCGGCTTCCGTCAAAGCTAGGATTTAGGAATGATTCCATCCATTTTGTAGATCACTTTGCATAGGTAAATGCAGGTTAAGATATTCCCGAAGATGTTTTGCCGGAAAGAGGTGGAATATATCGTCAAGACCCAACAACAGCCTGAGCACATGCCTAGGTTGATTTCGGATGCTACCGACAAACTAGCTTATTCAATATCACCGTTTCCATCGATTTAGGACAAAAAGAATCATTATTACTGTCACTACGACCAAAATAGCAGAAAAAACGACTCAATAACCCACCTTTTCTGGTACATTTCCTAAGTAGGCATCATTGATTGACGTGTAGGTACGCAACAAATTCGCCTTCAATCCTTTGGGAGGTTCCACTGTCATTTTTGATCCATTCTGAAGTATATAGACTGGGAAATCGGGACTGGGCATACTGGTCAACCAAAGACGAAAGTCACGATGTACCTGCAAAGTTGAAGGAGGAATGAGATGTTCAAATGAATGGTGAGAACATTTGGACTTGAAGACCGTATCTAAAAGGTTAAAGCGGATTGTGCCGTAGGCTCCGTGGTCTAGGGGTACGGTACTCGCTCCCGGTGCGCGTTGTCCTGGGTTCGAATTCGGACTGAGCCCATTCCACCTTTTCGGGGATCACTGATTGAGCGACCAATCTCCTAATTACTACTTTTCCGCTACAACTGCGGTGCGGTTGTGTCAGGCAAACGAAATTAGACAAGTATATATATATAAGTACATAAGTATGTAAGGAGTGGAATATGTTTGCTTCTGCCAGACAGTAACATAGTCTAAATTTGGCTGAGGTATGAGGTGATCCTTATTTTTCTTTCAAAATGGTAGTAATTTATTGGCAAACCTCTAACATACTCTTAACTTGACACTGTATTTAATGACCATTAATTATTCTTCATCATTTCTCTCTGATTCTTCTGGTCCTTCAAAATCTTTTGACAACTTGTAAAAAAGTTCAAAAGTTTTCAGCCGCACTCGGCTTCTCTCTTCGTCCCTCCAAATGTTTCGAATGTCACTTTACACTATCACGCTCTTCTTGCCCATCTGAACTAGTATCCCGGGTAAGCTGTATTAAATACCCGGGATGTTTTACTGATGCCAATCTTCATTGGACCTCTCACATTCAACATATCGTCAGTAAGCTTAGATGACTTTCTTTTCTTATCCGTAAACTTCGTCAGTTTCGCATTCAACAATCGATTATTTCCTTATCCGTGTGCGTCTTCCCTGTTTTACTTTATTGCCCGCCTGTTACTTTTTCCAAACCGCTAACGAAATTCGAAACTGCTTCTACGTGGACTGATCATCATCATTAGCCGCATCTCTTCGATTCCGCTGGAGGAGCTGTTAACTAACCAGTGCGTCACTTGAATGCATGTGAAAAGTTTGCACATATGATTCTTATCGACCGCACACAGATTTAACTTCCTGTTGTTCCCATTCGTCAACTAGATCTTAATACCGCTGTGATCCCTCTCGAATAAACATACATCGTAACTCTACTGTACCCTCATTGGCACGTATTCTAGTTAACAACGGACATGTTTTCACAGAATTTGTTAACAATTTTGGGCAACCTGACAGTATTCGGCTCACTTGCAAATCGTAGAGCGTTTTTCTTTTTATAAAGATTATTGTACCACGATTTCTTTGGCACATAGTCTGGCATCAGGTATGTAAAACATAAATAATAAATATCCAACTTGTTTATCTTAACTGAAATTTAGGCTTTATGCTTACAGAATTTATTATAATTGTGTCACATGATGTAGACATCCTCCGATTGGTGTTTCTTGGGGGAGAGGGGAAGGAGTGGTCATGAATGAAAACAGATTCAATGCGCAAATGTTGCATGTAGCTTTTTGACATGAATGTTTATAGTAAGAATAATCCATAGTGTACCCGTTTATTTAAGAATACAACGAATCGCTTTATGACATTGCATGGAGCACATGTTACGCAAACCGTAGCTGAGGAACAGCAAGAGTAACATCTGATACCCGGACACGAAACCAATCTTACCCGATCTTTGTCAATCTGTTCCACCAGCCGTTCCAAAACAGGCATCCACGAAGGAGCCAAATGACAGTTTTGGAAAAACACCCAAATTCCTCGTTCCATAGCGGCACGCATAAGTTCCTCGGCACGTGGACCTTGTCCTTGACCCAACGAGATGGCTGACAATTTCTTCCCGCCAAATTTCATCTCATCGGCAAATTTGTACAGATCGGAAGCGGGATCTGTGCCCTGGATGGGACAATTAATTAGGCGGGGGGAGCAGAAGAAAACATTATTTATCCCTTGCGACTTGTCACAAATAAGAGAGAAAATATAAACTGCAAAGCTGGGAAGCCTTGAACAGGTGATTCAAACCTACTGTTTTAAAATTGGTACTGTGTAAGACAACCAATGGCTTTATCATAAATCGAACAGGTGTGAAGACTAAAGTTGATGCCGGTATTTGTTAAACCAATTTTGCAACCCTATCTACCATATTACAGTTGAGGATACTAATAATAAATATTGTTGTTATGAGACTGAAGGATTACAAGTTAGGCAGATGGCAGAAAATTATCCAATCAGATTCCAAGCAGGATCAGGAAGGTAGTTCATTGTACGAGGACAGGGATGAGAGAGCAAGGAACAGCAGGGATCCTACGAACAGACACTGCAGTTTATATGGTGAAGTTTTGTTGTGTAAAGAGCAAAGGAAGCATGAAATGAAAAGCTGGAAAGCACTGGACAACTGTTCCCACCTGGTTCGATCTTATTAGCAATGCCAATCCATCAACCTAATTGGGGATCGAACCCAGGAAGAATGCAAGCGTACTACTCATACGGTCACCGGGCAGCTGATCAAACCGTTTCACATTTCGAATATACACGATATAGCACAACCCATCTTTGCCAGCTTTTGCGGGCATCGCGCCTCGCTCATCTCAGCACCAGCCTCCGGGGTTATGACTCGGTTGGAAGCATTCAAAACCTGATTATTGGTTACATGCTACTGACGAGGGATTTTATTCTATTATCCGGTGAATTTTATCATGCTCTGTGCACCACGTAATTCACTATATAATTGGATCACATCCTCCATCACTATCGTGTAACACCGTAGTTTATACTCTGTTTCACATACTGCGTGCCAAGAAAATCATTGTTCAAGATACTGTGAGGTATCAGAATTTGTCCGTGATTTGTTTTCGCGCACCACAATGGTGGAGTGGTTTGAACACAAGTCTTGTGAATCAATGCACTGATGCTACGACGACCCGCTCATTCAATCACCGCCATCCACATAGTCCTGCTGAAATCCCTTCATACTTTGAAAACCACCTGTTCGTGTAAGAACTGACTGATACACAAACGGGGACATTTAGATCTCGTAATGAATTTGAACAGGCAAGTCAAGAGACAAACACACACACACACGATTAAACCTAGCTAGTTTTTCTAATGCACTTTGTTTGTCTATCTTGTTGAATGTTATACGTAAGCGATTGATGAGAGTGTACGAAAGGAATTCTTCTCGTTGTATTTGTCTTCTGACTTGCTTGTTCAGATACATGAACCACTATCAATGGGTTCATAATCGAATAAGAACTGTTTATTTGTGGGTTACATCCATTTCTCACCTGGGATAGCACAAAAATAAGTGGCGAGGAAGGTGAACTGTCTTTGAACACTTGAGGCAAACTGGTGGATTGTGGTTCGACAAATCGTTGTCCCAAATGATGTGTAACAAAATCTTGCATAGCATTTGTGACCTTGTCCGCACGTAGACATCGTAGTAAAAGGATGCGTTGAAAACAGTCCAAATTCACTTGCCATGGATCCGGGAAAGTGACACGATGTGGATCGGGCGAGTCGAAAATTGCCTTAAATCCATCCCGATTCTCGGTGATACTCTGAGGCAGCCCGGAGAAAGTGTGCAGAGCGTTCAAAGTGAGCACATCACCCCACATTCGATCGGATATCCATTCGGGTGCGGGATTGGGCAAATCCACCGGTTTCGATGTCCCACCGGCNCGGCCAACAAGTACCGATACTCATCCTGATCGAGAACAGAAAACGAGAAGCAATAAAAACATCCTGTCCGGCACGAAAAAACTACAAAACTCCTTTGAATAAATGATATTTAAGTTAAGATAAATATGTATCATGGATGAAAACGCAGGTGGCTATCCTTAAATTAGCGAAGAAAAAATGTGATCTGCAGATACAATTAAACGAATTAGTACGATGATTTAACAGTTATAAAGAGACAGACAGACAGACAGACAGACAGACAGACAGACAGACAGACAGACAGACAGACAGAGAGTGTATTCCCGCGCTGTCAAATATGAGCCGTCTCATGACTGTCAATTTGGATGAAGCGGTAGAAGCAAGACTGGAAAGCTGAAAGTAGTGTCAGAGAGAAAATAGAAAAATCCGGTAAACAAACGTTGCACAAAAATTGAGATGCCCCTATTTACGTCACTCGGCCATAATGTTGTCTCTAAACATTGATTACAATAATCTCGAACCACCCATCCAGGAAGCCTGACGCGAACTTGTGACCGAGTCTCCTCAGGCTAGGTTTGAGTTTTGCCGCCTTTTACTTTTTTCCACCCAAAACCTGTTTAGAAAGCAACTTGCACCATGAATACCTATTTGGTTGGTATGCGTAACACTTGCCTCAACCAAAGTAATCTATGGAGATCGACCACTTGCACCAATGGACGAACGCAACTACCTAAAACTCTGCACTCAACGTCAGCATTGCTTGTGCGGTTGTCCCCCAATGAGGTATCTTTTTCCTGTTTCATTATGGCCAATTTTCTGCGCCGTATGGCGACACCAGCTGAACCGCTGCAGCATACACTCAAACCCTTCACAAACAACCAGATGTGGCGACGGTACCATAAATATCACAAGTTGGACAATGCCACCTGATCCATTTGTACGCTAGCTGATTCTTCTTCTGTGACGCGTCCGTTGGGTGGGATGTAGCCACCTAAGTGCCAAAATTCGTCCACTTACTCTAGTGATTCCTTAGTTATTTTCAGGTTGGGAGAAGAATCAGTCCAGTCTTATGGTATCATTTTACACTTTGAAGGAATAGGAATACCACAGAAGTTCACAAGCAGTAGTTAGGCTTGTTCGTGTACGTACCACTACCGAAATAGTGCCATTCTTTATCTTGTCCCTATCTTCATCAACGAAGTAAAGTGCCAAATGACAAGCACATATGCACGCAAGAATGGAGCTAAAGCTGAACCATTAGGACTTGAATCTCTCATTCCCTGTTTGTTCTTGTTGTTAGTCCTATTTAATGTTATATAATGGCATGATTACGAATAACTGAAAACGAGCTTGTTCGCCGCGCTTTCGTTTTTCTCGATGTGTGTTCTATGGGACGAACGAAACTTTTAAAAAGAAAAGAACATAATCATAAGATCACCACAGTCTCTACTACCTCAAAACGAAGAAAATTGAGCCTACCACCACATCTCCATACAACGCACTGACCTATGTAAGGAAACGGATATTTGAAAGCGCCCACCCAGTTAAGGCACTGAGAATGTTACATCAATTGGCGATAAAATGTCATCAAACTAACTTGTAAGCTGGACATACGAATTATCTTCAATATATGCATCTGTATCCCAGATACCCTAAAATAGTCACATTCTAATAGGGCTCATGTCCAAATTTGAGAAATACTACTGCTGTTTTCATTTCTAAAAGAGCTGTCCAATCGAATTTACTCGGTGTTACTAATGAGGTTATTGTGACCTATATAACGTGTTACGAAAATCAGAAGTGAATGCAATAACAACACACCATATTGATCTTTCCTTCATTTTGCAAGATTCGAATGGCCACCAAGAAAGCGAACATCAGTTTGTGCTTCTCGAACAGACTGCGGCACACATTACAATACAGACTGAATGTGAAATAATTGTTTATATTTGTCACACGTTGTGGAACATTGTCTGAAAACGGAAAGACAAATGAGACGAGGTTTAGTGCGGGATATTGGGCAACATGCGGTCGAATGGATAACAGCAACTAACGGTTTTCTTTTGGCTTGAGGTCAAGGTCACATACATACATGATTCCGGGTGTAATCTGAAGTTACATTTTGTACCAACGAAAACAATACACTTATTTGGTCCAATAGATTAGCTATGCCTGGGCAAAACAGCTTTGTTGAGTGATTCGATGCATTCGAGAGTATAGGACGATGCTACTTTAGGGATCACCAGAAAAGCCCAAAGGCTTTCAAAGAATAACAGGACTCTGTTCTCATTTCAAGCTACGTTCTTTGAATGACACCGATATTTACCGTCTGAACAGAATACCTATGATACTACTTAAACAGATTAAATGAGTAGAATGAGATTCATGGATGAATCCGTACAATTCGTCAGTAGAGAGCACCGCCTTTGATTATCTGGAGTTTCCGAGAGGTGCTCCACTCCTCTGAAGTTTGTTTCTCCCTACAAGTTGGATAAAATTTATTTTCCGCAGAGATTTATTTTCAGTGATCACCGCCAACCGTGTAGCTCAGTAACGAGGATGAGGAGTTTATAAGCCAACCGGCATGTAAACCGTTAGGATGGTCCGCTCAGCACCCTTTACAGCCCGCAGGGATCCGCGTCACACCACAAGCACGCTCGCGACACCCACCGCGAGTCGATTTCGGATTGGGTGACTAGGACAAATCAGACAGCTGTTTCCGATCGACCAATCGGAATGTCAAGGACACGATCTGATTGGTGCGTCACCAAGTCGGTCTCGTACACCCAATTTACCCATTTTTATTGGCGTATCGCATCCTGATCATGGAACAGACTTTAACTGCTGTTCTCCAGTGGCGTTTTCCTTCCCTTATTATTGTTCGGTTCGTGCCGGTCGTACATCTAAGCATTAACATTACATAAATAAATGATCCGAGTTCTGACGGGGACATAAACTAGATCACGATTATTTTCAATGGCCGACTCCGAACTTCTTCACCATTCATAATTTTACAAAGAATACTCTAACTATGCTTCAGTATTGATTCTCATATCAGGGAGTGGTGAAAACGGTCTAAATACAAACGGAAGCAATAACCGGAAAAATTAACGAAATCGCTCACAAGTCGATTATCACTGATAGATAGATGAGGTCTAGATCGTTCCTAAAGTGAACTACATCAAATTAAAAATTCTTAGGTAAGTAGAGCACCAATTCGTATGCCAAACTGCCATGCTTACCTGCCTTGTCCGCGTTGACTATCCCATTCAGGAATATATTCACAAACCATTCCAACGAATATTGATACATCGGATCGATATTGGCCAAATCGGACACACAGAAGAATAGAATTTGTGTTCTCACAGCAACAGGGATATATTTGCTTCGTGTTTCATCAATATCGTGCTCTGTTTGTTCGGCCACAATCACTTTCGCTTGAATCTCGCTTGATTTCAATTTAGATGCCTCTAATGTTTGGATTAGATCGATATCATCGACCGGGGAACCTTCTGTAGCACTTAGTCGTTCCAGAATCCGATCCTCAATCTCTTTCAATTCTTGTTTCATTTTTGCGTTGCTCACAATCAACTGATTTTTCGCCTCTTCCAAATCTGGTCGTTCCTCAGCCACGACCAGGCCTAATAGTTGATCTTCTAAACCATCCGGGGACAAAGTGAAATTGACCAGTGTGACTTTAGTCGATACTTCCGGTTTGTAGTGCGGATTGGGCAATTTTGTGGTAATGTAGAATCGGAAATCATCATGATAGGGAATGACAGCATCACCCAATTTGATCACCGTCGCACCTTGATGCTTGTAAGTCTGTTTCAGTAGTATCGGTTCCAAGGCCGGGTCAAGTTCTTCACCGACATTTTCCAACAAACATGGTTTCCCAAATCTAATGGAATTTTCCAAACTGCGTAAGAAATCCTTATCGGACATTTTGATCACACTCATCCCCTCATTCGCACCGAGAGCTTTGATCCACTTATTGGCCTGTCCTTGTGGATCAATAAATAATGGCCAGCGTCGAGCGAACTGAACAATACACGCATTCTCAATGGACAGAGCATCTTTGGGCAGACCAAAAATGTGCCAATTACGTAATTTGACCGGATCTCCGTATGTTTGAACCAAATTTGGCGCCGGTTCTGTCGTGTGCGGTACACCGTGCTCTCGTAATTTTTTTGTCCATTCTGTGGTCATATCGTTTCGGTATTTGCTCGAAAACGGACCTAAATAGGCTACCGAACCGGCCGAGGAGAGCACATTACCGACGAGATTGTCCAATAAACGATTCAAACTGATCACCGATTCCTTCCAACGTACTTTTTCACTGCCCAGACCACCGATTAGTTTGTCCGCGCGGACTAATCGGGCTTCGCACAGTTGACTCTTATCTTCCAACTCACGTTGACGACGAATACACTCGTCGTATTTGGCCTGCAAACTGGCAATACGATCTTCGCACGCTTTCAAACGACTTCGAGATTCTTTGAGCAATTTCTCGGTCTCGGCCAGTTCCAGCTCGGACGCCTGTAGTGCGGCACGTTTGGGTGCCACATTTTTCGCCACATGATGATATTTGAACATGGCTCGCACCCAGAGACAAATACTTGTGCAAGCCTTGCTCACTTTGGCAATAGCTGCTGGCATAAAACTTTCCGATTCGATATACGGTTTTATCTTATTGATCACACTGTCCGGTATATTATCTCGATCATAGTTCAATAGGGATTCCAAAAATTTCCCCGGATCTTGCAATAACATTTTACCCGGTTCCCAATAGTCGTCCACTTTCACTCCGGGTTTGTCCCCGGCCACCTTTTTCGGTTTCACATCTTTCATGATACAAACTGCCTCGATCACGAGGCGAACACCTTCCGGGGGACGCATCATGGCTCTGACCTCGGTAATATCGTTCTTGTTCAAGGATTTCAACGCTTCGAGCGATTCGTACAATGCGGGCATAGCTTCGTCCAAATCGCGTTGCGCATCATCTCGAATCAGTTCACATTCGCGAGCTTTTTTCAGCGCCTGTTGTTCCTCATGTGACACAATGGTCTGTGTCTCCTCGGCCACTTTGGAATCCCGTGCAATCTCTTCCATGGTTACTTTGGACTCTTCGACAGCGCGTTCCAATTCCGGTTTCATTACTTCCAGTTCTTCTTGCAATTTGGACACCGCCTCCTCCGTGCTAAGCAATTTGTCCAACCCGGTCTTGGTTCGATCGCGAGCTGTGGTCACTTCGACTTTCTTCAGGCCGTAAATCTTAGAGAACACGCCCAGTAATTCGAGAAAACTAGTCGGTGTCACATAGTTATGTCGATTCAATTCAATTTTGTACAATTCCGTATTATGTACCACAGACTGGTGCACATCAATGCACATTTTGACCATCGAACTGATTGTCTGATCGTCCGCGTCCAATTCGGTCATCTGTTGCAGTGTGCGCAACGCGACCGATTCCAACGCTTCCGGAGGCCATGGACTAAACCAGTCGATGGTGCAACAACTGACCAGAGCGGGGAATTGACGTAGTCGGGCACGGAATATCTCACCGATCGGACTCATTGCAATCACAGTGTGCAAATTGGCTCGAACACGTTTGGTGTAACAGGAGAACAGATTGGTTTTAGTCGGTTGTAAACCGGCTTCTGCGACCACAGTTTTCATACCATCGTAGATTTTGTCCAAATCATCCAGGGAGTAGACGTTGGGCACATCACCGGCGTTCAGTATGTTATTAATGTCCTCCAAAAATGATTCGGATTTGATCTGAAACACAAATAATGTTAAACAGTAAGTGGCCTAGTCGAGAGAACGGTATTCAACGAAGGGGGATTGATTTGTTGTGAGAACTGAAATAAGCAAGCGGCTTAGCATGAATGGGAAACTTACCAGACACCCGTGAAAGACCCGGGAACATTATGTAACCGTTGTAAACAGGTTCAAAATTATTAGTAGTGTTCATGACGATTCGGCAATTAACCTCTACGGTGTAAATCTACAGTGAGAAGTATCACTATCCCGCCATGGCATACGAGCGTAAATTACTGAGCTCTATATGGGGGAACTGCGCTGGGTGGTGCTAGCCAAGTGGTTAGGTCACTAATTTGTCACCCTAGGGGTCCGGGTTCGAACCGCCCCACCGGTGCTCATCCTCGCCTCCACTTCTGTATTTCCCCAGGCAGCCTTCGTATGGACGCAGCCCCTATTCTGAAAGTTGACTGTACATTTGTATATTCGATAGATCAGACAGAAAGTTTAAAGATAATTTATACATCTAATAATTGCCCAAAAATTCTACGGTTAAATAAGAGGGTTTTTACAGGAATGGTGTGTTTTAAATAGTCCCGGATATTTTAATGAATTTTTATAGAACGATGTCCATGTATTTCATTTTTAATTTGTTTAATTGAAGTGGTGTCGTCTAATAGTGAACTGTCAACCGGTCATATTGTTTCTTTATTACTCATACGCTCGCGGTAAGTTGTTTTTCGGGTTAACGATTTTTCGTTTACTATGAACTGCATCACCTCAGTAACTTTCTTCTTTTGAAATTAATTATTTTTATATGAAATTGGTCCGGCAGTTTTCAGTTATCAATCAAAAGGAATATTCGGTGTACTCCAGGCTTTTCGTGTGCGGCGAAATGGAAGCGTATTAAGGCTGCTACACAACGTATTATGGGTCCTTCGACCTCGAGTGTAGCAAGGGGTAAATGTACTTGTTCCATGAAAGAGACATGCTGTAACGGGGAAGTTCAGTTATTAAAAAACAATAAATTAGTTATTTTTACTTATAGATTTAACTTAAGATGATTTCCTTAGTCCTCCCGTATTGCAAAGGGAATGTGATATTCATAGTGTCAGATCCGAACGACGTTTGCAGTGTATGGAAAAATCCATGCGCCATTTCATATATTTTTTATTTAAGCTGTAATTTTGAAAACACAGTGATGTCGGTGCCGGTGAAAATAAGCCGACGTTTCGGTTACCGTGGGTAACCTTTATCAAAATGATTTTACAATCGAATGGGATATTTGTGCTAGTGAAATTATTGTTCCTAGTCCTTCGCCTCAGTCTGCGGTTAGCATGTGATTGTGACTTTCGGTGACTATCTGGTGACTCAACGGTGACGGTCGGGGTGCATGGGAAGACAGTAACCACGACAACCGTTGGAAAACGCACGAATGGTATTAATTCAAACTGAACAGTAAGGCAGCAATTGACTGACTGTCAACTAAGAATTGAAACAGTATATTCCGAGCTATTAAACAAATAACCCCTTGCCATGTTGAAAAATTAAAAGTTTTGCAAATCGCTGAAACTTATGCAATCCGGATCCTACAAAAGGTCAGAGATCGATTTTCCTGGGTGAAGACGTCAGTAAGAGCGAAAAGAATAATTATGATAAATCTTGGACAGATCGACTAAGGAAATCGCGAGAGCCACATGATTATAAACTTGACCGAACTTGACCTCAATCGGTCACAATGTCAATCTGCTGAACAATCGTTTCAACAATTAGCCTAGCTTTAGAAGTTCATTCAGTCGACTCTGATGATTTCTAAGAAAAACCTGTCGTGGCAATCATCAGTTATACAATGAAACCATTCGCAGTGGTGCCCTTGCCCAGCGTATTCTTCCCGGTGCGTTAGTCCGTCTCACTCATACTTGACTCCACTTATCAAGTTGTCAATACGTAGCATAAATGAATGCTTCGATAGAAGCTTTCTGTCAATCCGCTTCAACAATGCGGGTACCCGCCGTGATATAGTGCACCCATACTAGCAATGGGCATGCAAGAAGATAAAACTGAATGGATGGGGAAGAGAAGATAGTAAGCAAAACCTAGTAGTTATCCAAAAGTGGAATATTCCGATCACTGACCTGAGTATCTGAGAATAAGAATGTGACAGCCTTGTCCTCGATACCGGCAGACATCATGATTTTCTTCAAATCTTCACGCCATTCGTTCAATCCGTAATTTTTGGATAGTTCAACTTGGAAACATTCGTATTCAGCCCTGGGCGTAGAATACATTCAGTGTAAAGAAGAATATACATGGCAATCCGTTTTATTTTTCATTCAAGATATTAATGATTCACAGAAAGTTGGATGGCCAAACTTTCGCAACAAATATTGTGGTCACAACTATTTTATATATATATATATATATTTACATATCGGATCATACACCGTTTAAACGAGGTCAAACGTCCCAGGTGCCCAATCGAGCCGGTGACTACAACTACGAACAGGAAGCTCTGACTGAGTGTAGTACGTATAGCTTCTCCTGGTTGATTTAGATTCAGGGGTTTTATTCAACTCCCCTAGGGGAACTGCAAGGGTTATATGTCCGGGTATTGGCTTCCCGTCTTCTCACTTTGGTGGAAAAATCGCCGCGAGAAGGCAGTAAGTAGGGCTTCCTCAGCAGACGCATATATTGTGCATGAAAAATCTTTCGTTGTCTTCTAAAAACTTCAAACTCGTAAGCACAGCACAACACCGACTACTTTATCACTTATCAGTAGGCATTTTGGATAAATTCCATCTCGTCTTCAGAAGCATAGGCCAACAACATGGAACTTATTTCCTACTAACTGATACGCTAGTGACGTTTGCCAACGTAATTCCACCAAGATCCGTGAGGTGTACGTCCATACATTATTGATTATTCATATTTAACGAGAAAGAACACAAAATTGATGCAACAGATAGGACGCAACAAATCTGCAGCTTAGTTCAAACAGGTTTTATAATCATTTTATCGAACAGAAGCATTGTTTCCGTTGTTTTTACACTACTTACAAGTAGCTGTGAATTATATGTAAAAAATATCTCCCACAATATTAATGAGCACCAAGCATTGGGTGAGACTGGCGCACCACGAACGAACTCCACTTACATGTGAGCAGCCAAACGTGTGAGACTTTGCCGTCCACTACCACCCATGCCCAATAGTAAAGCGTTTCCTTGCGGTTGTCGAATAATACGGGATATACGACAAATNTGTTCCACAGCGTACATGAATAAGACCAAATTCATTTTGGCCGTATTCACCTGATTATAGTCCTCTAAATTCTCTTCGATTACTTGCAGCACCTGAATGAGATAGGGAGGGTGGAAGGTGGGTGAAGTGAAATGGATTTATATAGATGATAAGGCTATACGTATTCCTGGATTATTGGAGATACTCAGTATTATATTATTCGCCTGCTGTATTCAGTTGTACTAAGTAACATACTGTTTTAAAATAAGGCTGTTTGTTTATAATGAATTCCACACTAAATAATAATTATGTAACTTCGTGCTCTATCGGGCGGAAAATCGGCAACTAAACAAAGTTATTAAACTGTTTTGAGTTTATCTCTTTGCTAAACAACGATAACACCTCAAATCAACTCTCTGGTGAACTTTCCCCATTGGAAAGGTTTATTTAAACCTCGATACCCAGTCAAAGCACAGTTGTTTTAATCCCCGTAAGCAGAATATATCCAATAGCGTGATACTCCCCAAGCCAATTTTGAAATAAAACCAGTCGGATGTTATGTGCACGGACAACTATCATGGACAATGTGTCATCAGACCAAATGGCTATCCAAAACATTTTGTTTGTGAAAATTGGTTCAGTAAATCAGTTCAACACAAATAGAAACTTGGGCATTAAGTTTCAACACAATGAAAATTTGAAGAAAGAAAACTGGTACGATAAACCAGGAACATCTCGACATATTAGAAAATTCACCAGTCGATGAATTCAGACGTCTTATAACCAACCCATTTCCGCTTCTTTCCCCCAACCTCCACGCACCCACAGTGGTAGTAGAAGTGATTGAGTTTACAGTTGGACTGTAGAACTGTGGGATGAAGACTAGTTTCAAAGGTGTGTGAACAGCGGACTTGTTCTGGCCCCTATTAAACCTATTACTGACCTGCGTACAACGTTATATTCTGACCGGGAGGTTCGAGCAATCAGATCACTCAACTACTTTGAGATCACCGTTTCACCAGGCCCTAGCTGGTCCTCAGACGTTGTAAGTGTTTACGTGTGGCGTGAAAGGCCCCTTTGTGTACTCAGAAATCTGCATATCCGATTCGTGAACTCCAGCATCTTATCACAATTAGTGCAATCCTTCCGAGTAATCATTATAGATTTCCGATCAAGAGATAGCGATACTTTACAGTTTAGTTTAGTTTATGTTCTATTAAGTGTGAGTCATATTCCGATCGAATAAGATTCATTACTTCTAGGCAAGTCCTTCCATGAAAATATACTGTACGAGGTCACATGCAAATTGCACGGATTCTCCGACAGGTGTGTGCGTACATTTTTGCATGAGAAAGAAGTCCGTATGAACTCGTGAGCCTCGCAAAATTCCACACCGACTATCAATGCTTTTGTATTTTGCTGCCTTTCTTACGGATCACTCTTCTGTATTTAAAGATATAAAAGACGCTCCCCTTTTATGGGGAATTCAGTTTTCTTCATCATTCGTCTACTGACTTCCATTCTTCCATAATTTCTATGCATGCACGCCAACCTGCACGGTTATCTTGATGGTAAATTACTTTGTTGGAATTGATGCTGAATTGAATGAAGCAAATATCTGATTGGATTTTCATTCAATTTATCCCCCTCTCCAATTTGTCTCACTTCTTCTCTGTAATTCTATCAACAGGGTGTGAATTAGGTAATGACTATTTTGGTGATTGACTGTAAGCATTACGTCACGGAATAGACAGGATGCATGCACCCTGCAGTGCCTGAGTCTTTGTCTGGTAAACAGTCTTCCACAAATTCCTATAAATGTCCACTGAAAGCATGCGCGAATCTGACCTAATGTAAAATAGGGTCACCATCATGATCCAAACAGATAGAACTGTATATACTCATTTACCTGTTCCTGTGGAATAACGTGCATAGGCCGCATCGTCAGGCGATTGTCCGAACCGATTCTTGAACACCACCCTGCGTGGCTGAACACCGGAACGATTAAGTCACTCACCAGTGCAGTGGTTTCTCACCTAGCTGAAATAAATCACACTATGGTCGTGTCCCAGGCCTTCCGACCCCTGTACGAAGTTCGTGGATGATTTTATCGAGGCAGGTTCACAGTCGGATGCTGGCGACAGGAGTTCGTCTGCACAACCCAAAAAACAATTTGTACAAGTGCTAAAGCTTCCCTGGCCCACCCAACACACACTTCATCACGTTTAATCTCGATGATTATGTGAGTGGACAAACGAACATGTGATCGTGATGAGTTTGATTTCCGGTCTCACGATGAAATCGTTTATAGTAATCTGTGATTTTATTTTATTTTATTTTCCCAAGACAATTTTATTCCTAAGTAGTGATATATATTGAGATGTATTGGCATGAATGCGAATCTCTGAAAACGAGCCTGTTCGCCACTCTATTATTCTGTTTGAAGTGTGCTCTGTGGGACTATTTTGACAACTGGAAAGGTATTCTCACCCATGAAGTCAATTTATCCTCACATAAAATAAGTAACAAAATTCAACACCCGGAGTTGCAAAGGTTAGTTATTTAACCCCCCCCCCCCCCGCTCCCTATTCCCATCTAATCTGAACATCTTCTAGGGTCTCACGTGGGAATTTTGCAGTAAATTGGTGATCATCTAATTATTTAGCTAGAAGGAGCACTAAGAAAGGAACTGGTCGCTTGTCGGAGCAAGCTGTTCTGCGCAAGCAGTCTGACGAACGTCACATCAAATAGGACTTATTTACTTTTTACCGTTGATAAGAATCAATAAAAACGTGAATAATAACCGAGTTTTGTGAAAACAAAGCTTCCCACTAGTATCGCAGCTACTTAGAATACTGACCGTCACATTGATGCGTTCAAATAAATCGAGACAGAAGAATGTGCGGAAAATCAGGTGACAGAAAAGCTACTGACCTGTGCATGATCAGCCATCTCAATGTATTTCCACACATCACTAGCCGCAGCGGTCAGGAAATCTCCATAGAGTAGTGGTTTGGTTTTCACGTAGTCATCTACAGCCAATTGGAATGTCTCTTTCGAGGTTGTGTTCATCAGTTCGACAAACCAATCCCGATCGGTATCATTGACCAGACGATCTTGGAACACCCGACATGATTCGTGATACCACAGACGTAAAATTTGTTCCAAACTGCCAACCAACGAACCGGGTTCCATCATTAGCATGCCTTGGAATACTTTGGACAAATCACGCATGTTGAATGTGTAATGACTTTTGGCTGGGGTCGGCAACATTTGGGATTGGATTGTGGTGTACACTCGAGTGGACGCTTTCACTAGATCATCCGCATGTTGTAACAATTGTGCAGCCGGTTGATCTGGACCCGGTCGAGATAGCCACGATTTAAGAATCGCACTGAATATCGTATACATACTACCCTCGTCCAGCTCGTTGTAAGCCAAGAAATTGAAATGACGCATTAGTCTCGGTGTGACTGGGTTTCTCCCGCCACCGGGCGGTCCCATCGCACCGATGAAATTCACATCGACCAGACGACGGAATTCCCCGATCACTTTCAAATCGTACCATCCACCAAAGTCCATCCATTGTCGAATCAGTTCGATCGGTGGCTGAGCTCCATACACTTCCAATGCAGGCATGTTCAAATCATCGATGAAAAAGATCAAATAACGACCCATCGGGGGACCGTATACCTGTTTTCGTCGTTTGTCCAGCTTGCCATCGATCAGATCCTGAGTTTGTTTCGCACTGGTTTTTGCACTGAATATAATGAATTCCGGAATATATTCGGCCGGCATGTGTCGAGTCAGTTTGTTCATAATTGTCATCGTTTTTCCGGTCCCCGTCGGGCCCACGCATAAGACCGGTTTCTTCGCGACCAGGAGCATTTCAATCAGGTAACCACAACGCACCGTATCGATGGTCGGAACAATAATGTCCGAGTAACGCATTTCGGGCGGGATTCGTAGCTCCGGTACATCGCTCATCCAGTGCATCCATGACATCTGAGAAATTTAAATGTACTCATCTGGATATGATCTAACTTTGACATATTTTTCTTTAGCAAAGTTTTACCCCGCGACCCATGACATCAAACAATTAAATACCCTCTGAATCTTCCCGCGATCTGATTGGATCATTTTCCGCAATTTGCACGATTTGGATTCCCCCAACCTGTGCCAAGAATGTCTGATCACCGGTTCGTAATGTTTGTGATGCTTTTGTTGTCACCCGCCGTCCAGCCAAGTGATGATGACACTCCTATTGTGGACAGTAGAAGTTCACGGGGTGTGCTAAAATCTCGAAACTGTGAAAACTATGCAAATTCTCGTATCAGTTAACTGGGCACGCATCACGTACTTTGTTTTACCTGAGCCGTTCAACCCATCGATGAATGAACCTGATCAATCGTGTGGTTGTCGGAAACTACCAGGAATATAGCTTACGAATCCAATACTCCTTAAGCCCTGGTAGAGAAACATCATATAAGCGATCCTCTATCCGGCACATTTGGAACGGATAAAATTTATGCAACGACGATGACACTATGTCAACAGTTGGTTGTGTGTGTATTCTGACACGTTTTTCTAATGTTGCTGGATCAAGCTACAATTGATGGGCCATGAAACCATCTTAGAAAGCTGGAAATCATACGTTTATAAGATGTTCCATTAAAAGAAGCAATAATGTGAATGAATATTATTATACAAATGCTGTGTGTGTGTGCTGTGGGGTACTATCACACACATCCCCATGAGACTTCAAACGTTGGGCGTTGAGACGATGAAATTAGTCATAGTGTTGCACGAGTTCCATCAATACATATATATGTATATATATATATATATATATATAACGTACGTTTTTTTATAAAGGGTTAACTCAAGGATAGGAATCACTGAAAGTCCTTGGGTGAAACCGAACGGGGCAAATCAATCGATCATACTGGGGACCGCACAGATAAAACTTAAGTATAATATCCGATTGATTGCTCGAACTAAATTCATAGTGATTTTTATTACACACAAGTGTGTGATGAACAGTAGACGGAGCGAACCCCATAGTCACAATGACCTGTTTTTCAGTAACGCAAACGAAACCCCACAGGACTTTGAGTGGTGAACCACTTAAGTCCCTCCTAGGTTGGGCGTGATACTGAACTGGACGACAGCAAAGCTATCACCTACCACCAAAGTTGGGTGACAATGACCTCGGACCACAGGATCCAAAGCACTCCGGTGACAGTGACTAGGCCACTGTGTGCTTATTGTTAACCTTGCCCAACTTAGTTCTGTTCAGTTTTTACAACCATCAACCATGCACTTTCGTGCGCCGATTTTGGATGCTGTCTTAGTGCTAAGCATTGATATGGTTTACTCAACACGTATAAGTGCGCCTATTTTTGCCGTTGTTGCTGATGAGGACGATGATGATGATTTAGTAAGCTCTAATGACTCGGATGCTCACGACGCTGATCATGTTGATGTTTGTGGTGATTCTATAAAACCAATTCTTTCGGTAGACCAAAAAGTCTGCAAAAATAAGAGACAAACACGAAATGCATTCTACCTTTTTCTCTTTGCCGGCCATTTCATCGTCATCATCTTCGTGTTCGTCTGAGGACAAAAGACCACCGTCATCAAAACGATAATCATAGACAGTTCCTTCCTCTGGGAACGGGAGTATGCACTGGAATGTGGAGAAAGAGGGAGAGCGCCAGAAAGCAGACAGTCAACTCATTGTCCCCTGATTTGTTCATATCCCACCCCCACCCCATCGATGTTCTGTTCTCGTAATCCATTCGCGGTGGTCTTCGTTTGGTCGCAGAACTGCTCCTAAAAATTGACTGCTTATCAAACACTCATTCAACATGTTTTCGCTTGAAAACAAAAAACAGCTGTCATGATAAGTCTCATCAACTTGGAGACTAGTCAACAACAATAAGACAACAAACAGTGCTTTATGTACTGGTCATCCATACCCGTTTGGCACTTTATTCGTGGTAAATTTATTTCACTCAATCTGAGTTTTGCAAAAACAACATGAGAATAGGCATTCAATACACAAATGGTTTACATCATTGGCACAATTAGATTCATCGTGAAAAAGGGAGAAAATTAATGAGAAACCAAATACCTCGAGTAGTATTTCATCTGGTTTACTTCGTACATTAACTGAAATCATAACTCTGAAGAAATCAAGTCAAGTTAAGCCAAACCAAGAAAATGCTTTACTGTACCATTTGGTGCAAATTCAACTGCCAAATACCCCACAAAAACGAAGATATTTATAAATACACTGGGTTTATGGAGTTAACTCAAAGCTGTGGGCAAATCATGCAAAATACGTTCCAGGTGGCATAAAAAGTGAGCAAAATAAGGAACTATGGAAGAGGAGTATGCTTTTGTGTGTGCTTGAACGTGTTTTTGCATGAAGCGAGCAGAGTGAAGTGGGTGACAGAAGTCAGAAAGTATTTTGTGAGCCTGTTTTTATCACAGGCTTTGTTGTGCTGGGGGACAATATGATGAATTATGTTAGTTTTTGGTAAATTACAGCCCATAGATAAATGTCTGAGAGACCTGAGTATCACACAGAATTTGTAACAAACCAGAAAAAAATCACTGGGGAGAGGCATAGAGCCAGTGAGGTAGGATGCAGTCATGAAGAAACTGTTTTCATCAGATGAGGGGGAATGGATAATCGCCTTAGGTGTAGGGTGGATAAAGAAAGCCTTCTGACCTTTGCAAAGACATTGTTGATGTGTTTAGTCAAGAAAGAGAATGGTTAAGGATAACACTCAAGTAGTTAACTGATGGTCCTCGACTGAGGAGTAGCTGGCACATCTCGAGAGAATCAGAAGATGATTTACCCCTCGGGAGAGAAAATGAAACATCAACATGCAATAAATCCAGTGGCGAGTAGAATGTGTGAGGAAAATGATGGCGCCACTTATCGATTGGAAAACGTGCACAATTAGATATCAGAAACATTAGAAACGGAGCAGGAGAGAAAGAGAAGAAGAGTTGGATGGCTATTGCCGGTGCGAAACAGTCGATACGCAGAACGATGTTCTACCGGTTCATACCGCGTTGCTGCCAATTTGAGCTTATCTGAAGTTTTCTTGGTCATCGCAAGTCGCTCTATTGGTCAAATTTATCCTGAAATACACTTCCGTAAGGTGTAGAAGGATATATTAGGGCAGCGGACAGCAGAACTTCTCACGAACCATGAACTTCTGACGGTCAACTGAACAATAAAATGAATTTAAGAGCACATTGCTTCTTAATTACAACTC